TAATCTGACATGCTCTTGAATGATATGGGTAACCTTAATATTACTCTATTTGTATAATCTGACATGCTCTGTGAAAGATATTAACATAACCTTAATATTACTATATTTGTATAATCTGACATGCTCTGTGAAAGATATTAATATAACCTTAATAGTACTATATTTGTATAATCTGACATGCTCTGTGAAAGATATGGGTAACCTTAATATTACTCTATTTGTATAATCTGACCATGCTCTGTGAAAGATTATTAATTAACCTTAATATTACTCTATTTAAGGAAAGTTAGATCGAATAATTCGTCTTAATTCTATAATTTTCTATTGGTCATATCTACATTCTTAGCGTGCAAGTGAAACGAGCAGTATATTATGTGCATCTTGAATTGTGAATTGTATTCATTAAATCATGATAGAACTTCCCACCAGACACACATATGCAGCGCTACCAATATATTTCAATAAATTTGAAAGAAAACACTAGAAATAACTTGAAATACTAAAAACATTTGAGAAAAGTTTTATATAAAATTACATAACAGAAAAGATATCACCGAGTTTTTCAACAGATACGTCCACCAATAATTTTCTAAGAAGAAACTTACTATTGAACTTCCTGACAGAAATACTCGTCTCGAAGTATTTTATGAACAAATTTAACATACATTTTCCTTTGAAATATTTATCAGTAAGTTTCATTAGTGATTTTTTTCAACGAACACATACCATTGAGTTCCCTAAGAGAAAAACTGGACATCCTGGATACATTACTTTCACCAGGTCTACATGGTGTAACACATCCTGAACACAGTCATCGATACTTCCTATTAAAGTACGGGGACCTTCACTTCGCCCATGACCAACTGTAAAAAAACAATTCCGAGAGAGATTATCAGATTGGAGGGTTATAAGGAATTTATACTCTTGAAATAGTAAATTAGATTAACATCGAGCAACTAAGATGTTCAAGTAATGTGCAAGAATGTGTTGTAAAATAAGGCATTAAAGGTTCTTAACTGCTCTGTGAATGTGTTGTAAAACAAGGCATTAAAGGCTCTTAACTGCTCTGTGAATGTGTCTAGCTTATTATACCAAACATCTCAACCTGTAAAACAAGGTATTAAAGGCTCTTAACTGCTCTGTGAATGTGTTGTAAAACAAGGCATTAAAGGCTCTTAACTGCTCTGTGAATGTGTTTAGCTTATTATACCAAACATCTCAACCAGCGTTGCATTATTGCACATAGCTGAATTATAATCTGTAGCTATATAGTGCACTACCTTACAACAGTATACTATAAATAAGTATACAAAGAATAGTTAATGCCTACCAGAAAAGAAAACCTTTAACTGTTCATAGTTTTCGTTAAAACGATGCATAATTCCCTTTGAAAAACATCAAAAACAGTCTTACACAATATTTCTTTTTTTATGTTCTTTATACCTTGAAAATACTGTTATTGTTCCTTCAATTCATAATTTGTTGTAATGCATCTTGATGTTAGTGGATTCTCTTGATGTACCATTCTTGGTAGATGCAGCAGAAAATTTGCCAGAAGCGGCTGTTGCAAAAACATTTTACTCTTTTTAAGTAAAATTCTTTATACGTTTACGTTTACAAATAGATTTATTTAGCCTTGATTTTCAGTAATCTTTTACAGCTATAAGTTGAACACTTAAAACAGTGTAATTTGGTTAATATTTGAAAATTGAAAAATTGTAGGCAAGTTGGAAAACAAATTAGATAAACTTGGGTTAATTCAAAAAGACGTGTAAAACATTTGAAATTTTTTTTCAGATTTTTCGCGCAAAACTAAATTACACAATGAGCAATCTAGTTTGTTAAGAACCGAAGTGTAAGCAAAAATATCAACAACTTAGCTTGCAAAACAGTGGCTGATAGGATTAAATTTGAATTGTAAAAATTAAGCCAGTTTCATGATTGAAATAAGTATTTAAAACAATAAATCTACATATAGATAGATATATTTAATTTGTTCTTTTCCAAGATTCCAATATAAAACAAGTATAAACAAACACAAATATCTTATGTTGAAGAATAACCTATCTTTATACTTTAGAACACTAATTCTTTGCTTATTTTTGTACATAGTTATATACTTTAATCTGCTTTAAGAGTTTCAAACTGAGTTAAGCCTAATTGAACATAACACCTTAATTCATTACTAAGAAGTTTCATATTATATCATAATGAGGCTGGTTATTATTTAAATAACATCATTTTTTACTGGTTAAATATGGGTTTTCAGTAAGAAGAGTGAATAAAAACATTTCAACTAAGTCTTTTGCTCAACGTCAGATACCACCAGCTTGAAGTGTTAATCTAGTCACAATTTACACCATTTGTTTATGAGACATCAAATTTTATAATGTTTAACGGCTAAACAAAAGGTCGAGGCAAAAAGTATTTTAGCCAAGAGCCCAAAACTTTCTAAACACTGATATTATGCGGAAGACCTCGTTGGCAGTGACAACAAACAAATTTAGTTAAAATGCTATTACACACCCTCCTTACTGGAATTCCGTATTGGATAATTAAATAATGACATTATAAATGTAATATCACACCTATTGTTTCAAAGTTGTGTGGTATATAATACGATTGCATATGAATTTACTTAGGTTATCTTTAGTTTAATAGTTTATTACTAATATGAATTTACTTAGGTTATCTTTAGTTTAATAGTTTATTACTAATTTGAATTTACTTAGGTTATCTTTAGTTTAATAGTTTATTACTAATATGAATTTACTTAGGTTATCTTTAGTTTAATAGTTTATTACTAATTTGAATTTACTTAGGTTATTCTTTAGT